CACCAACTTTTTGCAACCCAATAGGTGAGTCTTCTATTGACGTGACGCTTACGCGCGGCGACGTCTCGATATCCGGATGGCGTGTCCTTCCGGACGCATCCTGTAGTGATCACCGCTTGATCGTGTACGAATTCATACCAAGGGTTGCACAGGATCCACAAAAGGCTCCCTATAATTTTAGATATAAAACTTAAGGTGCGAACTGGGCTTTGTTTGGTTCACTCTTTGCAACTCATACCAAAGACTTCAGTCGCAGTAGTTTATCAGCTGAGGAAAGCGCAGAAATACTATCAGAAACTTTTACATACTGCGCTGATGTAACTATTGGTCGCGGATCTATCACTAACACTCGTAGATGTGATTGGTGGAATGATAGATTAGCCGAACTACGTAGAAGCTACCGGAAAGCTCGTAGAAAATTAAACACTATTAAAAAACATAACGTAATAGGAGATTTTTACAACAATGCTCTCATTGCTCTTAGAGTTGTCAGATCTACAGAGCTGCTGTGGAAAGATCCAAGGGAAACTTAATTCAGAAACTTGTTGATAAACTCGATAGAGAGGGCCCGTGGTCACCTTTGTATCACGAATTTAAGGCAAATAGATCAATCGACCTTTCATACATACAGAACATCAAAATTAATAACAGATATACCACAGGAGTAAAACAAACAGCAGAATATCTTTTAGACTCACTCGTACCTAACGATCGACCGGAAAACGACACTGATCATCACCGACAGATCAGGCAGTGGGCCATCGAACCACCACTGTCTCCAATGTCTGATTTACCATCTTCAGACGAATTTCTCGGTATCATTAGATCCTTGCCGCTAAACAAGGCTTCGGGCGATGATAAAATATCTAACAAAATGATAAAAGAAGCTTGTAAACTTTCGGGTGACACGATTTTCACTGTCTTTAAACGTTGCATTGCTGAAGGAATATTTCCTCGTATATGGCGGTGCTTTAATATTCGTATAATACCAAAAAGTGGCGACAAGCCATCGGATGATCCTAAATCCTACCGACCAATCACATTGTTACCATCGTTAGGAAAGCTTTTAGAACGTCTTGAAGTGCCCCGGCTTCTGCCAGGTGGAGTCAAATTTCATGATAAACAGAGGCTATATCGGTTAGAAAGTTTGTCACAGGGTCAAAATTTCAATACGTGCTGGCTATTTTCTTAGATATATCTGGCGCCTTCGACAACGCATTGTGGCCCATGCTGTTGCTGAAATTAAAATCACGGGGGTGCTTTAAAAATATTTATTCCCTTATCTCTTCGTACTTTTCACAAGGTACAACTAAACTAAGACTTGGTCATCATTCTGTGTCGAAGGCGCTTACAATGGGATGTCCTCAGGGGTCGGTGCTAGGTCCATACTTGTGGAATATCGGCTTCGACGATTTTCTTGCGATACCAATACCATCAGGATGTACTCTGAACGCGTATGCTGATGACGGCTTATTACTGGTGGAATCTGATACTAGGGCGGGGCTTGAGAGATTAGCCAATAGATGTTTGAACTTGATATCTCAATGGGGTGAACGTAATCGCTTAACTTTTGCACCCAACAAAACCTTCCAGCTACTTTTAAAAGGTAACCTCAAATCACCGCCGAGCATTAGATTTGACAATGTTACTGTAAAAAATAAAACCACAGTGTGTTATCTAGGATTAGTTTTAGAAAGAAACTTTTCATTTATCGAACATTTTAAAATAGTTAATGAAAAGTCTAAAAAGAGTTTCTTTGCATTGACAAGGATATCAACTGCGACATGGGGTCTATCATTTAATACATTAAAGATCATATACGGAGCTACTTATTTAGGTTCTATGTGCTATGGTGCACCTGTATGGGCCGATAGGGCGACCGTAGGCGCTGTCCGTCGCAAACTGTTACAAGGCCAACGACTTGCACTGATATTCTTGTGTAAGGCATATAGGACGGTTAGCACTGAGGCTTTGCCGGTGTTGGCGGGTGTGCTTCCGGTCGATCTCGAGGTGCAGAGACGTGCAGCCATGTACTATTCAAGACAACAAAACATGGAATGCGATTTTTTGGGCGCGCGGGATCGCGGTAAAATTACAAGATTGCTTCAACAGCAGCCCGATGTCTATAACGACCTCATAGACGAATGGCAACAACGCTGGGATGAATCATCCAAGGGGCGCCATCTTTACCAATTCTTTCCATCTGTTCGCGAACGGTTGTCGAGGATATGGCTTGAGGTGGATCACTGTGTCGCTCAATTTCTTACGGGTCATGGTAACTTTAAGAGCAAGCTTTATTCATTTAAATTAGTCGAGTCACCATTTTGTCAATGCTCAACACCTAACTCTCACTATGAACAGTCTGCTCATCATATCCTCTGGGAATGTAGTCTTTGGTATAATGAACGTAATATAATGCTGAATAGCTTGCAGCTGACATCTGGGGCGGTATACTATGGGGATCTTGTGTCAACTAGGGTGAATTTCCGTGCGTTTAGGCGATTCTGCCATACATATAGAAATCAAACATAGCTCACGTAGGACCCGTAATATTTGTGGCCGTGGTGCTTCCCTGTTTAAAAGGGTGTATGCCCATTTTACTTCATTTTGTCTCCCGCTTTGCTAAGGAGGGAAGTGGATTTACTGTATTTCCAACTCCTCCAATTTTCTTCTGATTAATTTCGTTGCGGGTTCCAAGACAGTTTAATTTCTTCCTGGGACTTCCCGAGTGTCATAACTCGGTGTATTCGTGGGTCACTGCTGTGGATCCTGGTGTACAGGAGTTACAGCGGTGGGCGTGTGGGTGGGATTAGTCCCAATAGTCCCAAAAAAAAAAAAAAACCCCACGCACACATAGGGCCGCGCGCACAACGGAGTTGAACTATCTATACCTAGTTTTTATATAGATTATTACAAATCGTTATTGGATGATTGAAAAGACTGACTGTAAGTTAGAAAGCTCCTAGTGTACGAAGATTTTGTTTGGGTGGTCTATTGATTCTAAAGACTTGTAGAACTTATTTTTTGTTCATTATTGCCTTGATTTTACTTTTGTTTAAAGATTTATAGATAAATTACGTTTTTTTACAATATTTTTTCTAAGATAGTTCCTAATAAACAAAATTCTCGTTAAATTATAAGCGTTGATAATAAGAGTTTCAGAGAGTAGTGTTAAAGTGTTTTTTTACGAATTGCTATTCGTATAATCACTAAAACACCATTCTCAACAAATATTTTGTTACACTTGTGCTTTGAAAAAGTACTCTACTTGTTTCTTTTAAGTTTCATTTTTCCTTTGAGATTTTTTATTACAGATTTCTATTATATTTACTAAAAGAAGAGTGCCTAATAAATAAAGATCTCAATATTTTATTATAAGTGTAGATGTTGATTAAACTTGTATTTTATTATAGTTCTAAGTCCCAAAGGATTTTTATACACTTAAAATAATTTCTTTTTTGTTTTCATACAAAACATTAAAATTATTAAAAACTAAAACCAATTGTTTTTTTCTGCCCAAATGAAGCACTTTTCACTTTGGTATCCCATTATTTGACATTTATAAGGAAAAAATAGACCTAAGTCTGAAAACGTAAAAAAAACTTAATGTTAAAAAAATGAAAACGGCGTAATACTCAAACTTTCACATCAAAGACATTTATTTCGGACCAAAAAAGACGCAACTCCTAAACCGTCTTTACTTATATAAATTTTTCGGTCCAAAAGTGACTGATAAAATAAAACACATTTTCTTCTATATTATTCATTTAAATTATTAAGTTTTTTCATTGCATAATAGTAGCTGAACAACTTATTTATCATTTGTAGCACTAACATTTGCAATGTCATAAATAATCACTAAATAATAGGCGAAAGATTGCGCAAGTGTCAAAATCGTAAATCTTGTCTTGCTTATTACCAAAAAGTTGTTTTTTTGAGTTACGTCGTTTTCATCCTGAGGGTGCGATAAGACGGTAAAGTTGACCCTTCAAAACACACTCTAATCGTCTCACTGTCGACCCACATTCCACTCGAACCTATTCTCTTCAATCTTTTTACAGATAAAATTTTTGAATCCGCTTCTAGAATTGCTATAATGTCTGTTTCATTCAGCTCCATATCTAAACCTTTTATAACACCAAATGACATAGTTGATTCATACGTCATAGCCAGTTTGTACCCTAACTCTTGAAATTTCTTACATTTTATTAGCGATTCTGCATTTTCTTTAGAATTAAATCGAATAAGTACCTTAAATGGACTCTTATATTTAATTCTAATTATGTTTTTAATGTTTTCATCGCGTAATAATCTTACTAAAGCCATTTGCTTAGGTAAAACTTCCGTGAATGTAATACAAACTTCATTATATTGGTCATCATTATTTTCGTTTCTACCCTCCTTTTCTCATTATTTCTATGTTTGGAATTATCTGAGTTACTCCTAAGAAGTCGTTTAGGTTTTCTTCTTGTTACTGTAATAAACTCGTCATCACTGCTAATTTCTTCTCTTTCTTTTCTCTTTTCGGGTATGATATTCGGATTTGGGAAATTTTGCGTGTCATTATCCATATTGCTCATAATATAAACGTTTCCTCACACCTTCTAAGTACTTCGGAATCACTTTTATCACTCATAGGTAAAAAGCCATCGTCCTCCTCACTGTCATTCATTTTTATTAATAATTCTTGTTGTGGGTAGTTTATATAAATGCACGAGTAACAAAGCAGTTGTTAGCAAACGTAAGCTCGAGACAACGGCCCGCGCTAGACTGAGCGAATACATGAGACTGGTATAATAACAATAAGCGATGAATGCATTATCAAGAGTGACAGTTTTATAATATATGCTCACCAAACGCGCTCAAATACTTTAGAGAGAAGAGCTGACGTCATAAAAATTCGGATTCCTCCTATTAACACCATTTTAAACATTTCAATACCAATAGCAACTGTCGAGAATCAAACCTTGTACTCGGAACATCAAAAGTATTTTGAGGAAATGGACAAACAGATAAAGTACATGAAAGCTAGTGCGTCAGACGGAGTGCTGACCGAGCACATATCCTATCATGACGTACATCACTATGTCGTGATCTACGTAATGCTGATCGCGGGAGCTATCGCTCTCGCTGGTGTGGTGTGCTGGTGTGGCAGCGTCGGCGAGCACGACCAGCAACAACCTCGAGCCTTGAAGCGCAGCCGTGCACGGAAGCACGGTCAGCGCAAGCAGCGTGCCTGGAATCGCAGGCAATTAGGCAAGCGCCGGCGTATCACCGCGCAGGAATGCCTGACGTCGAACTTCCAACAGCGAGCAACGAGCCTTTTTCGGTCAGATGTGTTAGTAAGCCTGCAGTGAATCAGTGTTATGTGTCTAGGGAGTTAAAGGACAAATCGCATAGTGCTCGTGAAGTGAATAAAGGCAGCTCGCCTGTGATTTTCCACAAAGAGTTCGATCTCACCTTATAGTGGAACATTGTTTAGATTTTAGTAATCATCTTAATTTTAAGCAAGATATTATTGCATCACCTTGTAACATATTTATCATTTATCATATCATTTCCTCAGCAAACCTTCATCCTTATTTTCTGGCCCGGGAGTATGTACGAGCCACGTTATACATTTCTCGTATCATGCTATTATACTTTGAGCTGTGTCAGCACTTTATTCATTTATTAAATCATTCTTCAGTTCAGTTCGCGTTCATATTCGGCTATCAATTGACGCGTCGCGGCTTACATATATCATTATCATTTTTATCTATTAATATAGTCAGTTAAATTTATCCCTGAGTTTACTGATTTATCCTATAACTTAAAACCCTGGTGTACGACCGTACAGGGCCGCAATCGACCTTGCATACATACAGAACATCAAAATTAAAAACAAATATACCACAGGAGTAGAACAAACAGCAGAATATCTTTTAGAATCACTCGTACCTGACGATCCCCAATGTCTGATTTACCATCTTCAGGCGAATTTCTCGGTATCATTAGATCCTTGTCGCTAAACAAGGCTTCGGGCGATGATAAAATATCTAACAAAATTATAAAAGAAGCTTGTAAATTTTCGGTTAACACGATTTTCACTGTCTTTAAACGTTGCATTACTGAAGAAATATTTCCTCGTATATGGCGGTGCAGTAATATTCGTATAATACCAAAAAGTGGCGACAAGCCACCGGATGATCCTAAATCCTACCGACCAATCACATTGTTACCATCGTTAGGAAAGCTTTTAGAACATCTTGTAGTGCCCCGGATTTGGATTTACGTTGGGGAAATCGACAACTGACGCTGTTATATCAATTAGAAAGTTTGTTACAGAGTCAAAATTTCAATACGTGCTAGCTATTTTCTTAGATATATTGGATCCTCATTCGTCGTTGGGTCTTTGTTGAGAACAGTGGTCTTACGAAATAAATTCTTAGATTTTTATTCCAGTGTTAAGAATTATCGCATTAGTTGCAAAGCCTATTAGTGCTGAATTGGTTTGCATTATTCCAAGTGAGTGGTTACTGTGTGACAAGAAGAACAATAACACGCAAGTACTGTCATCTCGGTCTTGCATAACATTTCGAGGAGATAGCCGCGGGGGATATTGTACCTCACCTCCGCTTGACAAAAACAATACCATATTTTTCGTCTCGTTCACGCACGTTTGTGCTGCATCATAGTAAAAATGACGACGCAAAGGACACCGCCAAAAAAATTCTCTTCAGACACTGACATACCACTCCCAGTTGATAGGGACTCCTATGTGGGTACTCGCAAAAGGACACAACCCGATGAGGATGATACATTACTTATGGTAAGACTTGAAGAAAAATTTAACTCGCAGCTGTCAGTGTTGGATAAGAAAATCACCGATTGTATTACAAACTGCGTTGCATTTGCTGTTAGTGTAGCCATCTCAAACGAGTTAACTAAAATCTCAGATGTGCTGTCAGAGATAAACTTAAATGTTACGAAACTTAACTCTGATTACATATCTCTTAATACATCCCTAGAAAAAACCAAGAACCGTCTTACTGATATTGAAAAATCACTAGTTTACGCTTCAGAGAGGCAAGACTGCGTTGACACCCGCCTTAAAACTCTAGAAAGCATTGCGGAGACGCACACTAATGACTCAAATAAAATAAGTTTACTCGAAAACAAGATTATGTCAATGGAGCAACAGGCACGCCAGTGCAATTTAGAAATATGTAACGTACCGGAACGTCGTGGTGAAAACCTTATTACTATTATGGAATGCCTAGGCAATGCTTTGAAACAACAAATACGAACGACCGATATCGTGTCTGTTCACCGTGTACCCCATGCCGATCAAAATAATCCGCGCCCAAGGAACGTAATATTGAAGGTGTCGACGAGAGTATTACGTGATAACATCATCGCGGCATACCGTGCCACAAAAAGTCTTGACAACACGAAGTTAGGCGTCAGCGGGTCTCAAAGCACTACCATATACGTCAACGAGCATTTAACACTCAATAATAAGATATTGTTTTCGCTAATGTCGTGAGTCTGCTAAAAAATATGACTATAAATATGTGTGGGTCAAACACGGGATTATATTGGCAAGGAAACATGATGCGTCTCCTGTCATCGCTATTCGATCTCAGCAGGACATTCCAAAAATTAAGTGATACAATATACGAGTACAATCTGTCATATACTTATAATAGTTGCAACATAATTGTTTTGTTTCAAATGCTATATTATTTTTCAATAACTGTCACTGGAGGGTATTCACACGCCGAGTGTTGTGGGTTCAAACCCCACATGGGACAACACTTTGTGTGATCCACAAATTGTTGTTCTGAGTCTGGGTGTTCTTTGTGTCCGTTTCAT